CGCCGATGATATATGTCTGATTTCCCACAAACTGGAAGATATGCAAGTGAAAAGCAACAAATTGGCAGAAGAAGCAGCAAAGATAGGACTTCAAGTGTACATAGACAAAACAGAGGTAATGAAGATTCCTGGCCAACATCAACAACAACAACCGACAACAATCAGCATAAATGGGAGGAACCTGAAGGAAACAACTTCCTTCACCTACCTGGGAAGCATCGTCTCAACTACAGGAGGAACTGACGAGGATATCAAAGCCAGAATCGGAAAAGCAAGACAAGTTTTCATTTCTCTCAAGTCTATGTGGAGGTCAACAGCATTCAGCGTCAAAAATAAGATCCGTATTTTCAACTCCAATGTGAAGTCAGTACTACTATACGGATCAGAGACTTGGCGTGTCACAAAGAGCAGCTCAAACAAGCTACAGACCTTCATTAACAAATGCCTTCGCTCAATACTCAAGATCAAATGGCCGGAGAGGATCAGCAACAAAGATCTCTGGGAGCGAACCAACCAGGAACCGATCGTGAAACAAATAGGCAGGAAGAAATGGAGATGGATTGGACACACTCTGAGGAAACCAGCAAGTGACATCACTAGACAAGCCCTCGAGTGGAACCCGAAAGGGAAGCGACGAGTTGGCCGTCCAAGGGTGACCTGGAGGAGATCATGTGAAGAGGAATTGAAAGCGTGTGGGCAGACTTGGAGCCAGGTGAAAACTACAGCAGAGAACCGAACGCAATGGAGACGCATGGCTGAAGCCCTATGTTCCTCTAGGAATTAAAGGAAATAATAATAATAATAATATAAATGATCATGAGTGACAACCAATGTGAAGGTATAAATTCTCATGCGACATGTTCACACTAAGTTCTATTCATATTGATGTAAGTATAAAACTTGGAAACTGTAGTATAGTTTAACTCCATTATGGATGGAGTGATCATGTCAAGGACGGGTTTTAGAGGAAAAGGGTTTCTTTGGGCGGAAATGTATGCTCATTGTACGTGTGTTAGTGTTAAGTTAACAACCACGTTTAAATTAGAAAACAAAAGGTTAGTTAATGCAAGTGTAATGACAAGGAGTAGGGGAATTTATATGATAAAGTTATCGAAGAGAATATTCTTTGTTCAATAATCAATCCTTGGGAATATTTGTTTAAATATTTTGTGCTACTGAAATAATATTTAAGTAGTAATTCGACTTACGCTCAATAATTGGACAATATCGTTTTATACCATTTATTTTTGTAAAAATTCAATAATCCCGAGTGATTTTCTAAGGTATCTTAGCAACGACACCTATCGTTATACCTACTTAGTGACATAATTGATACGTTGCTTAGACATTTGTGATATATTTATTTCGACAGCTTTTAATAATCAAAGTAAAGATAATGATAATAGTCAATCTGAGCGAAGAATATTCTTTTCAGTAATTTCTCCTCTTCAGTTTCTTACACTTATAAAATATAATATTTGTTGTCGTTACAATAATGCGAGCCCGTTATGCGGTGGATACATTTTTCACGTAGAATAACAGATTATTTATGGGTTTTCAAAATAAATAGTCGTATTTGTACGACAAACATCGTGGTAGGCTGATACCGACTACAAAATATTGTAAAATGGGAGACTGTGCTGGTGATTAGTCATAACAGATTCGTTGGACATTCAAGGCTGTTTACCAGCTTGGTTCAGCAGGAAGGAAATTAAGTGCATAAAAAGCTTTATCCTGTCACACTTGGTTGATACTGGACGTCGAATCGACGTCAACAGAGCTTTCAGGGTTATATACCGAACTTCAAAGTCGCTATCGTGTACAGTTCGCTTACGCCTGCTACACATAGCTGAAGCTGTTGCAATAATACCGACTAAACTGGAACTTTGTATCCAAGAAGAACACTTCCAGATGCTGTTCCTACCGTAGCCAAACTTGGATTGATGATTCTTCCTCTGACCAAGAGTGCCTCTTCCCCTTAACCCTCCTCGTTTCTTTCTTTCTTTGCTTATTATTGCAGTTATTATTATTATTCGTCATAATTTATATCCTTTATTCAAACATTCTTTCAAAACTATCAAATTTTCCTTTTAAACTATCCGGACTTATTATTGGTGATATTATCTCTTTCCTCAATAAATGCCTTCACCTGTTTCATTTCACACATTCGTTATTTCATTATGAACCTCTCATTGCAGTCTTACTATCTCCTGTTTAATACATACCACTTTGTACTAGCCACTCACCTGACACCTTTCATAACCTTGAACTGACTGGTCAATTTTTTTCTACCCCACATTCTACGAATCTATTATGACTAATCACTATCAGTGTCTCCCATTTCACAATATTTTGTAATAGAATTCAGCCTAGCACGTTTGTCATACAAATACGACTATTTATTTTGACACCCCATAACTAATCTGTTATTCTACGTTAAAAATGTATCTGCCGCATAACTGGCCTTTATTGTAACAACAAATATTATATTCTACAATTGTAAGAACCAGAAGAGGAGAAATTATTGACTTTTAATTCAAATGATATGGGAATATTTCAAATTATTAAGTCTTATATTTCAACAGTTTACACACAGTGATAAGTTTTGTTTTTTGGTAATTAATTCGAGCAAAATTACTGCACATGATCACAGCAACTTTTGGAATTGTTTTGTTTTTAATTCACACATTTACGATTTGTAGTTATACATGCATAGTTCACACTATTAAATAATGATAATAGTTTTATCCTGGGCAGTATTATTATTTTCTATAAGTGGTTTGTAAGAATTGGTTTTGTTTTCTACTAGTTGATCCCGTATTGATATCAATTAGAGAACCATTGAAAATCAGGAAGTACTGGACAGCTGTTTCAACCTAGTTTGGGAATCATCGACAGTTCGCACCCACTGGGGTTCGAACCCAGGACCTTCTGGTTACAAGGCAAGCTCGTATACCATTCAGCCACTGGGATCCGATTCAATGACCACGAATTCCCACCGACGACATTGGTTGGGGTCGCACTAAATCATGAATTGGTACTGCGTACTGCCGATGATTCCCAAACTCGGATGAAACAGCTACCTGTCCAGTACTCCCCGGTTTTCAATGGTTCTGTAACTGATATCAATCTGTGATCAACTAGTATTATTATTATAATGTACACAATTTCCAGCGGAAGTTATTTCATAATAGTTTCTCCTCATCCAGGATTTCCAAATAAAATGTTAACTGACAGCACATCTCATGATACAACGCTGTCCGACCTGAAACACAAACCAACCTGTTATGATATTTCTTATTTGTCTCCTTCGAGGAATGCACATCTAGTTGAAAGGCAATTCAAAAAGAAAGGGTAGAAGTACATTTCGAGATCCAAGAACACAACTGTATAATTGAAGACGTTAGGTATTTAGTTCTATTTCTAAGGCATTGGTAGTTTGTACTCAAAATTTCAGGAATAGTTATCTCAAGCATTGCTATTTAAAAGATCCTGTGGAGCCAATCAAACAACACAGTTTAGTTTATCTAATTCCCTACCTGCAATGATTGTTAGATCAAATACATAGGTCATAGTAGTAGAACAGGGCAGTCAGACTAGCCGAGCATAAAAACCTAGCAAAATCTAGATTATTTGACCCGAATAAGATACGAAATCTAGAGGATAGTTCAGCTATAGCACTTACTACATACAATTACACACGACCATACAATAGGCTGGATGGGATAAAATGAGTCTTAATATCTAGCATAGCAGAGTGGAGGGAGAGACTGATAACTCAAACCTTATTTATCGAATCAATTCCAAGCACGTGTAATAGGAATAATTCAGCCAATGTTCAGTTGGACATCTGGAGAATTCTACTACCCCTACGACGAATATGAAGGAATGAAGAAAATTACAAAACGAAAGTTTCAAAATTGTGTGGTTATAACTGATGACATGATTATGAACAATAATAAATAGGTCCAAGGCTTCCTGCCGATTGCCTCCAACCATCTAATATCATCACAAACAATGTACAACGTGATGGCGAGCTACCTAGAATGGTGGCCACATTACAACCTGACTGATAGAATTCAGTCTGCACCAAAGAGAGGACTAGACGCATCACACTAGTTACTAGTGTCAAATCAAAATATCCACTACAGTCCTACAGGAGGTCAATCGTGAGCCCGAACAGCTCATTGTTAACGTCTCTGACTGCAGCGCAGGGTGACGCGGGTTCGAATCTCAGAAGGGACATGAGTTCCTTCGAGGTTGCAGATACGCCTTGCTGATTAGTGCCAACTATCACGAAACCTAGGTCCAAGGCTTCCTGCCGATTGCCTCCAACCATCTAATATCATGAAATACTTGCACAGAGTTCATTTCTAAACGAAAATCAATCAGTCAATACATGCGTACAATGCTAATAATATATATATATATATATAATATTAAACACTATTCCGAAGAATAATTATCATACACAATGGAAACTTTCAACATTGCGTAATCAGATGAAAAAGAGGGAGTACTGGACAGCCAGCTGTTTCGTCAGCCTAATTTGAGTTTCTTCAGCACTACGTACCCACTGGGGTTCGAATTCACAACCTTCTGGTTACAAGGCGAGTTCATAGACCTTTCAGCCACTGGGACATGATCCAATGACTAGCCCGTGAATTCTAACTTCCACCAATTCCTGAAATAGCGTGACCACTTCACAATGTCTTCTACAATGATTAACTGTCCTCATCTTCGACCTGCTGTGCCCTACTAGTCACGGATTCCCATTAGAACCCAAAGTTAACTGCCTGAATAGGTCCAGTTGCTAGTGAGCATCAGATTAATTTTCATGTGTTGGGTAATTCTTCACCTGCAAAACCCCCTTTCCCTGACAATCCCATCTTGCTTATCAATGAATGAATTCAGTTTGTTGTAAATAATTCATTAGCTCATTCATATGCTCTTTCATTTCACACTGTAAACGTTTTTCTTTTTCTTTTTTGATTTCACAGGAACAATCTCATCATATGCCTAGAATTCATCAGGATGGTGAGAAGTCGACAGAATCGAAAAAAGGAGAGATGAAAGAATTAATTAACACACATAATAATAATAATATTAATAATAATAATGATAAGCATAAGGACAATGCAGATTTACATAAAAATAATTTAAATCAAAACAATAAATGTGTGCGTGATTTCACAAATTTTGAAGAATTAAAAAAAGAATATGAAAAGCAAGAGTTGTTAATCTCTGGTTACCAACGTGAAAATGAAAAGCTATACGCATACATTAAAAATTTAAAGAAGGTTAGTTCAATCTCCCAACAAAATTTTATTCATTTCCACCTTTCTTCTTTTTTTGGGGGGGGGGACTGTTTTCCCCATCTGAAGCAGGTGAATTTGTAGATATTCGGTTGAATTTTGGAGAGATTTAGGTGACACTATATGATGATACCAATAAAGGGAACCACTGACAGTCTAGGTGCACTGGGCACCCACTTTGGAGACTTTTCTTTTCTTTGATCTTTGATTAGAGCTTGATTCCACACCGTGTTTTTGGTACAAGTATGGAATTTTCAGCATATGATATCGGTAGCCCAAATTTTGTGGGCCGATCATAGATATCAAGTGTTCGTCGGCAAGGGATCGAACCCCGGACCATGTGCATAGTCGTTGAGAGTTCTAACCACTGTGCGACCGATGCACGTTTTAGACGAAGATCTTCTATTTCTCAAAAGCATCCTTATTCAAAATGGATACCCACTGCGTTTTGTGGAGAAGAACATGAGACCAAAGTCAAAAAGAGAAGAATTCACTTCAGTGCCAAAGAAAACACTTTATTGGAATCTGGAATTCAGGGGAGACCTAGCACCAGATATCCTTAAAAGAAGAATCTCCGATTCCCTGAAGAGGACTTTCCCTGCAGTAACTGCAAGAGTGATATTCTCTAACCACCCACTACTTCGGAGCAACATGGAGGACAGACTTCCGCATATGTCCATTTCAATGTGCATAATTTCAGTTCACCTGCTCGTGCAAGGCTAGGTACATAGGTGGTTCTATGCAAGTCTTATCAAAACGTGTTAGAGAACATCAGCCGGCATGGCTGTAAAGTGGAGGCACTGGTTCAATCAGAAGCGCAATAACTGAACACCTCATCAGCACACCTGTCACAGCATCTCAACTGACTCATCATTCAGAGTCTTCTACAAAGTAAACAAAAAACTACCAAAGGCAGTATGTTTCTGACTTCTTTGTACTGCGGAAACCCTCGCCATATGCATCGAAAAGCCGGAGCTATGTGTTAAAAAAAAATAGTCCAGCGTTTACAATTACCACAGACCTAGTTCGGTATGTTCCCTTATCCTTCAGATTTTGTTTTGTTATCTGTGTGTGTAATTTTCTCTCTTTGTCTTCATTCAATTCATCCCATTTTTTCAGTTATAAGAACAGTTATTTTAAGTTTGTTTCCATACTCCTCCTGATCACACTTGTAATCCGTTTAGAATAACCATTTTACAATTATATTCTAATCCTGTGTAATTTTTGTGTTTCTAAAACTCTTGTAATCTATATTCATACCTCCTAACTTACATTTCAAGTTGAAAATTTTGATTTCAATTTGTTTCCATGCTCATTTTCTTCACACATGTAATTCGTTCTATCCCTGCGTAACTTTTGTTTCTAAGCCTCTTGTAATTCATATCAAGTTGAAAATAATTATCACCTTTTATTCGCCTTTAAAACTATTATTTCTCCAGTTATCAGGTATTAATTTTGCATACGTTGTAACTGTTTTCTAAGCCTATGCAATCTTGTCTGTAAGCCCCTTTTAATCTACATCCGTACCTTCAAATTTTCATATCAAGTTGAAAATTACTATCACCTTCGTTACGATGTGGAATTAAGCAAATAATAATTGTATTCGTGTAAAATAATGTATATAAATGCAATTGTACAGATGCTTTTGAGAATGAAATCGCCGAAAAGATCGCCATCTTTGCTGAACTTCGTGTTCTTTTCACTCTTCGGTAATACAAGGAGACTGACTTTGATACTTGATGGCTGTGTGATTTGCAGTACTGGATAGTGTTAAACTAGGAGGGGACTATCGTTTTAAATTTTTACACGTTTCTTTAGAATCGGTTTATGATTTTATTTGATTTGCTATCTGCTGAAGGAATCTAAGTTATGGGTTTAATTAAAAGCTGATATCAGTTAGAGAACCATTGGCAAGCCAGGGATTACTGGACGTGTATTCTTTCCTATTTTGAGAATATTCAGAAGTACTCAAATCACCGAGGATAGAACCTAAGATCTTATGGTTAAAAGGTGACCTTATTGACAATTCAGCCAATAGACGGGGTCCAAGAGTCCTTCTATGTTAACTTCTGCCAATTCACTGGTTTTTAATGGTTCAAGTCGTAATTAAAAAGACGGTTGCAGCGAAGAAAATTCTCTTTCCGACGAAGTCAGCATCAAATAGACAGCTGTACATTCGTGTATTTATGATAAATGCATGGGAAAGTTCCAGAATAATTTCCAGTAAACGGTCAAGTTGATAAAATTACAATTAGGAATTAAAATGTCATGATAAACAGGGGGACGGATAAAACTCAAACAAAGTAGCATCATAATTACTGAGAAGATTGACAATGATTGTGCACTTAGGTGTTAGAATTGTAGAAATAACAAAAATAGATAGACAGGATGTTTAGATAAAAAATCTAATGGGATCATAACTAATGTGATGGATAATTGTTTATGCAGTTAGGGATTCAATATGTAGAAATAATAAAATGACAAAATAGGTAGGAAGCTCGGATATGAAAATATGGTAGTGTAAATAGAAATTAATAGAAAATTAAAAATAACATGAATAATCAGGAAGTTTGGATAAGAAAGGCAATGGCATAGTCATTATTAAAAGAATTACCTGTTTATGATGGCCATGGCAGGGACAAGGTTTGAACATATTTCTTTTGGATACATAGCGTGGGTTTCAGCTTTTGGATGGCTAGTGCATCGGCTATGCCCAGATGTCTTGATTGTACTCCCTTCGATAGGTTTGATCGGATCTGGTATATTATTTTGAAGGATTTTTCGAATGGCACTGAATATTCTGAACTGATCAAATGTTCTGTCACCGAACTATATACCTGTTTTTGTTCCCCTTTTACTAGCCAAGGTGGATAGTGTTCATGTGGGCGTTTCGCAAGTTGCCGCATGGTGCGGCTGATATACTCACCTCCACAAGAGCAAGTAAACTGGTATATGCAAGCTGAGGTGGCCCAATGCGACAGCTTGTATTTCACGTTCTGGCTGAGCAGTTTTTTGCAGGAAAACGTCAGTCGTAGGCTCGTGTTTTCCTCAGAGATTTGCAGAGGCGTTTACGAAGGTTCAAGTCTTATAAGTGGATAATTACCCGTCAGTGATATAGACTGGCGATGGCGCTACATTTCGCGAACTGGAATAGGTTAGAATTGATGGGCAATTGGATTCCGTCTCTGTGGCCTTGCAACCTGAAGGTTCTGAATTGTATATTTAGTCTAGTCATGGTCATATGTAGCTGAGGAGTTCTAAAGTGAAACGAAACAGCTGTTCAGTACTTCTTGGCTTTTAATGGTTCTCTAACTCAAGTCAATTCGTTATCTAACTTGAAACGACTTAGTTTTACTGCTAGTAAAACCTTAATGTTAACGCGCATGTGCTTCTTCATCGTAGGTCACAAAAGCGCAAAATCCTACATCATTTTATCTGCATATTAACGTTAATAAACGATTTCAAATATTCACTATAGATCAGAACATTTGTACCGCATATGTATTTGGTCAAATGTACTTTTCTTTTCAAACTGCTGTTGTCATACAGTTGTGACGTCAAGTGAGCAGAGTATGCAATGCATAGTTAGCTGTGGATATGATGGAGAAGATTTGTAGTTCAGATGGATGATTTTAATGTAATTGTGTCCTCTGAGCTGGATAGTTAATTTGCGAAGCTTTCATTGCCCTACTAGGCAACATCTTCACTGCATATTTCAATTCATTGAAGTCAGCTTTTAGATTTCTCCACGAGTTTACTAGTCATCTCTCCTGGTGGGTGAACTTGAAGGGGATTGGTTGTGTGTTTTGTGTGTTTTCACACCCTCTAGGCAGCCACTTGTATTGATATTGGTGGATATCCAGGGAACTCCATCAAAAGACTTAAACCCACAAGCCAACATATCAAACCAAAGGCCCCCAAGGAAAGCACTAAGAAAATCGCCCTACCGTATATACAGGACATCTCAGAAATCACTGTAAGACTCTTCAAACCTTAAGGAATTGACGTCGCACACAAACCAACAAAATCACTTCACTCAGCTGGCTCTATGTCAACCAAAAGACTCAACAACGAAAGGAAATAAAACCCAACATCATCTACAAAATAAGTTGTAACAACTGTGAAAAACACTTAATTGGCCAAAGTGGATGTCCCCTTCGTCTACGTATCCACGAACATACGCTAGCCGTCAAAAGACATGACATCCACTCCATCACTCATATCACAACACACAGCCAACCATGGACATCAGTTCGACTGAAACAACCAAGAATGCCAGAGAATTTTTAGAAGCGTGGTATTCCAGTGAATGGCCAGTTAATAGACACACTAACATTGACCAAAATTTACCAATTGATAAGAAGGAAATCTCACACACAAAGGGTCAAAGTTCAAGTCAAGGAAACAATCAGTTCCAATGCAAGTAGCCTAGAGGGTGTGAAAATACGCAAACATAAGCAATCACGACGTTCAAGGTGACCAGGAGAGATGACTAATAAGCTCATGGAGAAATCTAAAAGCTCACTTCAATTCAAATTGAAGCATGCACTGAAGATGCTGTCTAGTAGGGCGATGAAAGCTTCGCGAATAAACTATCCAGCTCAGAGAACACAACTAAATCAAAATAGTCAGCTGTCCTTATTGCCTTATACCTTCATAAAAATATAATTGACTATTTAAGAAACGTTTATTTTTTAAAAATGTTTCTTTTTTGTGCTTTAATTATAGGATGCTATAACTGAAACACAAGATTCAAAGACTGCAAAACGTCTCACCAGTGAAAATCTTTCACTAAGAATTGAAGTTGAACAATTGAACAAGGAGTTGAAATTACGTAGTCAACAAATCTGTACTATGCTGTCTGGAAATTCTCGATTGAAACAAGGTGAACATTTCTTCGTCTTCTTTGTCTTTGTCTTGTTTTTACAGTTCTGATAGTTTTGATAGTGATCACTACTGATTTTCTCGTCAGTGGTTTGATGTTAGAATGCTTAATAGTCACGCACACACACACACGGTTTGATTTTGACTCCTAAGGCTTACTCACTCCTAAACCTTGTCTAATGGGTAGGCGGCGCCGAAAATTGGAAAGGTTGGGCATGAGGCTAGGAATCCTACCCTTTAGAAGTAATACCGATGGTGCTGAAACTTCAAATTTCGGCGGAGTTTTTGAGTTCTTTTTATTACTTCACTCATACATTGTTGTGATGTTATTTTTATTCCTTTACGTTCCCAATGGAACATAGGGCGGCTTCAAGTTAGAGGCTTGAAGTTTCTGTAACAATGGTGATTATGTTTTACAGGATGGGGTTGCCAGCCTCATGCCCAATCTTCCTTCCTTACCAGTCTTATTACTGGCTTAGCGAAGTGAAGGAGTTCATCGGCCGGGGATCGAACCCCAGACCACCGGCGTGGTCAGTGAGCATTATACCGCTGTGCCACCGACGCACTGTTGTGATGTAGCACTGTAATGATGATGGGCAGACTGGTGATAAAAGCTTTGCCAAGGATAACTAACCGACTGAATTTGAACAAAGTACTTAATACAGCACTGCAACAGTTCAGTAACACGGAGAAAAATGAAGACTTAATAGATACGGGATATTCTCCAGCCACTGGTCCTAAAAGTGTAGAGCACCTTAACCAGGCAGTCTATACTTCCCCGTGTGTCTGGTTCAAACTAACTGCCAAAGACTTCAGAGACTGATGACAGGCTTTGTTTTAACCACCCGTAACGTTCTTCCAACCTAATCCTAATATCACTCGTAGAAGAAAGCGATATCTCATCATGTGGAGCATGTGTTCTAATCATCTCAATAAACTCACCTCCACAATCGCAATGGCTGATTTACTCCCCTTATCTACCTCGATATTACTCGCCACAATATACTACTAAACACAGGAGATGGGACGCGAACATCTGTGGTCAGGTACAAAGTAAAACCGAAGTCTGACTGAGTAACAAAACTATCTAAGGCTTTCTAAATTAGACTACAAATACGCTGCCGTATAGCCGATGTGATAACCCTTAGTAAATAAGGCGAAGTGAAGCATAACGAAAGCAGACATTGGTTGGAGTACTTCATCATGAGCTGACATGGGCTAGAGAACCATTGAGAAACCACCAGGGAGTAATGGATAGATGCTTCGCCCGAGTTTGGGACTCTTTAGCAGTACTCTCCCAAAGCAAAGGTTCGAACCCAGGACCTTCTGGTAACAGGGCGAGCTAGTTCGTAGACCATTAAGCAACTGGAATGCTATTCAATGGCCAGCGCATGAATTCTAACTTCTGCTAATTCATGACATATGGACACCACTTCGCAACCAATCAGTCGAAATTCCCTACAAAATCAATACTTGAAAGTAGACATTGTTAAAGTGCTTCAGTGGTTCAGTGGTAGAATGCCCGCTAGCCATTTATTTCCTCAGAGTTCGACTCCTGGCTAACTCACTCCTAAATATCGCCTAGTTCACAGTCTCTTAGTAAAAAGGAAACAGCGAGAAGGTGGTTGAACTGAAGACTAGTAACCCCGCCCACGAAAAACCAACACCAACAGCACCGCCACTTCTACTTTCCACTCGGAACACCAGGGAGTCAAGAAAAAGACAGATTAAAGCTTGTGAATATTTTTTTCTTGATTTGTCATCCTCCAGTAAATTTGAGAGAACGGGAAGAAGAGGACATCTTAGATTTCTTTAAGATGTACCACCTAGTATATTTTGGAAAGGAATAAACTGGTTTCAAAAGTGCAGTCCCTAGGCATTTTATCGAATATGGGACATGAAGTTGATACCTTGAAATCGTTTAAGATAAAAAATTACCATCAGATTCCTTCTAAATTTGCTGAAAATATAACTTTAAAACGTATGGAAGTGGATTTGTATGCCGAAACACAGAAACAGTTATCAATCTTTCTTTGCCTTGATAAAATAATTTCTAAACTCTTGCACAATTTGATGAAACAGTCTTTTTATTAACAATAAATGTGGGCTCTCCACAATATTACGCAAATTACTAGCAACTCCTTAAGAACTTTATTTATATATGTATGTATATATAAACCTTAGATTTTTAATGGAAATGACCACACTTTATCAAAGTAGAAACGGGTGAATTCGAATCAAGCAGTTACCGAAACATCAATGAAAGCTGTAATGTCATACCTTAATTCTCCTTTATGAATTTGATTAAGGCGAGAACAACAGAGATTTTCGCAGAATAATATGGTACTGTCATTGTTTACTTCACTGTCTCCTCATCATCTGCTTACAGTCTAAATAAATTATTATTAAGTTTATGTACAGAAACAATTTGAACATACTTGCAAATTTTACATGATGTCATTTGACAGAAGGTTCCTCAATCAATGAACAGTGCTCAGGAAATTGCGCTTACATAGTTTTTACACAGGCAGTTCAAGTTTAAACAAAATAAATGTATGCATACAATGGTAAAGGAGTTACGTGATAAGGATGAGAGGTACGTACGATGCTGAGTGACTAATAAATCAGGTAACGATGTACTGAGTTCAACTCAAATCATAGAAACAAAAGACAAGCAAAATTACACTACATCAAAGGAGGAGGTGGGTGAGGTTTAAACGAATTATATCAAGGAAGGTCAATTTGTTTCGTGCAATCAAATTGACGACATTTAGCGCCTACGATCACCTGCAAAAGGGATGAGTTCACCATTAGACGAAAATCTCTTCTTAAATTTAATCATTAGAAAAAAACTTTCAGCCGAATATAAAATTTTACAGTTGTTGTGGGTTTCCATAAGCTTGTACAAATGGTATGCAACACTGTGGTTCAATGGTCCAGTTTGGAAATCTTCCGCAATCAGCATAAGGAACAAAATTCGCATTTTCAACACCAATGTTAAGTCGGTCAGTGCTTCTGTACGGGTCAAAAACTTGGCGTGTCACACAAAAGATTTCAAACAGCCTGTTGCAGACTTTCATCAACAGCTTCCCACTTCACTGGCTGACTCCATGCTGAAGATCGAATGGCCAGAAAGAATAAGCAACAAAAAGCTCAACAAATATGTAAGAGAAAGTGCAGATGGATTGGGCATAAATTGAGGAGGCCGCCAAATGACATGGCGCTTACTGCAGGCCATTGCTCGAGTAAAATCCAAATGCGAAACGACGAGTGGGTCGTCCTAGGGTGAAATGGAAGAGATCGTGTGGGGAAGAGATGAGAGAGTCTGGTAAATCGTGGACCCAGCTGAAGAGGACGGCAGAAAACAGAATAAAGTGGAGATTTGTTGTTGAAGCCCTATGTTCCACTCAGAACGCAAGGGAATAATAATAATAAACAGTTGAATGGCGGAATACTCGCCAAACACACACAGATGATGCGGATTCGCTTCATAGCCAACGTACCGCTAAACTTTATGTAGTTGGCTATCCGATAGTAAGCTCGGAAGAGAGGGCAGATCGGACGTGGGACTAGGAACTCCATCGCTTAGAAACAACAATAAGTGCTACTAAAACTACAAACATTAAAGCTTGAAAAGTTCTATGTTCCACTTGGAACGCAAAGAGTGTATCAGGAATGAGGTAAGTTTCCGTTAGGAAGAAGAGAACACGAAGTTCAGCAACACAGATATCTTTTTGGCGATTTCATTTTCAACAGCTGTACAATCGCATTTAAATATATAATTTTACAAAGATGCAATTATTTTTACTTGATTCCACATAATTACGAAGGCGAGTAAAAGGTGATAATTATTTTCAACTAGATATGATTTTTACGAGAGGCTTGGAAACAAAATTACACAGGATTAGAACGAATTACAGGTGTGTAAAAATGAGCATTAAAGAAACACCCATAGGATCGCCAATATCAGGTTTGATTGTAGAAGCAGTGATGCAAAGGCTCGAAAACATAATCCTACTAAAGATCAAACCCGAAATTTGGATTAGTTACATAGATGACACATTCACAATAATCAAATGAAACGAGTTCGATAAAACTTAAAATTTAATAAACAACGTCTTCAACGACATCAAATTCACAAGAGAAGAAGAATCCAAGAGCGAAATTCCACTTTTGGACGTCTTAGTCAAGCGAAAAACCACAGGGGAAATAGAAACTGAAGTTTATGGAAAATAAACTCACACGGACCAATTACTCACTCGGTTATAACAGCAACAATCCAATAACACACAAAAGGAATTGTATACAAACACTATTCAAGAGGGCCAGAACTCATTGCAGCACTTCCACCTTAAGGAAAATTGAAGAAAGATGATTCTTGGACGTCTTCCAAAAGAATGAATATCCATGGAATTTCATCAAAAGACATATACCCCCAAGCCAACCTATCAAACCAAAGGCACCCAAAGAAGGCACTAAGAAAATCGGCCTACCATATAAAAAGGACATCTCAGGAATCACTGAAAGACTCTCCAAACCTTTAGGAATAGATGTTGCACACAAACCAACAAAGTCACTTCACTCAGCTTGCTTTGTGTCAACCAAACGATTCAACAGCGAAAGAAGATACAACCAACATGATCAACAAAATAAGTTGTAACAACTGCGAAAAGCATTACCAAATTGGACGTCCTCTTCGTCTCTGTATCCACGAACATAAGCTAGCCATCAAAAGACATGACATTCACTCCCTCAAATCGCCGCATACCGATAACCACAGACATCAGTTTGACTGGGACAAGGCTGAAATATTAGACAAACGGAACGTCAAGAATGCTAGGGAATTTTTAGAAGCTTGGTATTTCAGGGAATCGCCAGTTAATAGACACATTGATATAGACCAAAATTTAACAGTCTATAAGAAGGAAGTCTCACACACAAAGGGTCAAAGTCCAAGTAAAAGAAACAATCACTACCAATGCAAGTAGCCTAGAAGGTGTGAAAACACACAAAGCACACAACCCACCACGCTCAAGGTGACTAGGAGAGATAACTAATAAACTCGTGGAGAAATCTAAAAGCTCATTTCAATTCAAATTGAAGTATGCGGTGAAGATGTTGCCTAGTAGGTAGCGATGAAAGCTTCGCAGATAAACTATCCAGCTCAGAGGACACAATTACGTCAAAATCATCTACCTGGGCTACAAATATTCTCCATCATATCTGAAACAAAACACGTAATTCAGTGAAGGGTCTGTTTTCGTTGGTGAATTCATTCACTTAGCTGTACAGTCGTATTTATACATACTTATTTTTGTATGTGTGCACATTATGTTTATGAGATAAGGATAATACTGGCTGTATAAGGAATACAATAATTGAACATTTCGTCAGCAGCGGTCATTCCATCTCAACAAACGCCTCCTTCAAAGTGATTTAAAAAGTGAAGAACAACTTACCAAACACAACACGCTTTCTTCTCCTTTGTATTGCTTAAGCATTAGCCATTCATTTGGATAAAACAGAGTTGTGCATGCAAAAGAAAGTCATCCAACTATTTCTACTATCACGTCAACAAACGTATGGACTTCTGTTGACTTGATTTTTGTGTGCTTGTTTTCTTTTCTCTTTTTTCTAACTCGTCAGAACATTTGTAATTTTTGGAACTCTTACATAATTCCATATTTTCCTTCGTTTCTATGTGCATCCTAATCACAACTCACTCATTAAACACTATTCATCTTATTACGTAACTGTCTTACGCTTATTCAACTTCTTTTATTTGTCAATAAGTATGTTTCTTTTTGACAACAAATCACCACTACCCTCTTACCAATATTCACCTCCCCCCTAGTTATAATTTGATTATTCATCACATTTTTGAAATGTCTTCACAACAATAACCCTTACTTATTGTTACTCTCATCGGAAAAATCTAATGTACATACATATACAAAAATTATTATTATTATTGTTTTCTTTTAATTCCTAGAGGAACATAGGGCTTCAGCTGTGCGTCTCCATTGCGTTCGGTTCTCTGCTAGAGTCTTCACCTGGCTCCAAGTCTGCCCACATGCTTTCATCTCCTCTTCACATGACCTCCTCCAAGTCACCCTTGCACTGACGACCAACTCGCCGCTTCCAATACAGTCGGGTTCCACTCGAGCGATGGCTTGTCCTCAGAGTATGGGCAGCCAATCCATCTCCATTTCTTCCTGCCTATTTGTTTCACAATCGGTTCCTGCTGAGTTGGTTCGTTCATTGCCAGAGATCTCTGTTGCTGATCTTTTCTGGCCGGTCATCTGATCTTGAGTATTGAGCGAAGACAGCTGTTAATGAAGGTCTGTAGTTTGTTTGAGATGCTCTTTATGACGCGCTGGCCAAGTCTCTGATCCATCCGTATAGTGAGTAGCACTGACTGACTTCACATTGGAGTTGAAAATCCGGATCTTATCTCCGTTTTGATGCTGAGTGCTGTTGACCTCCACACAGACTGGAGAGATATGAAAGGTTGTCTTGCTTTTCCGATTCTTGCCTTGATATCCTCGTCAGTTCCGTTCGCCTGTAGTTGAAACGATGCTTCCCAGGTAGGCAGGTAAAAGAGGTTGTTTCTTTCAGGTTCCTCCCGTTTATGCTGATTGTTGTCTGTTGTTGTTGTTGTTGCTGTTTGTAGTGTTGCCCAGGAATCTTCATCACCTCTGTTTTCTCTGTGATCACCTGAAGGAAGTCCTATCTTCTCTGGATGCTTCTTCTTCCAACTTGTTGCTTTTCACTTGCTTATCTTCCAGTTTGTGGGAGATCAGACATATATCATCGGCGAAGTCCATATCCTCCAAGTTTTTTGTGTGAGTCCATTTTATGCCTGTTTCCTCATTGCCCGCTGTTTGTCGCATTATCCAGTCTACTGCAATCAGGAAAATAAGTATAATAAAATAAGTATACATAATTGCGATTGTGCAGCCAGGTAAATAAATTCATCACTGGAAAGAGATGCTTCACTGAACTAAATGTTTTGTTGTAATTTAAATATATCACCAGTTTAAGATATTGACAAAAACAACGAATCCTAGATTTTCGGAGGTTTACTTGCCAATTTGTGCGTTGGTGGCACACTGGTAGAATGCTCGCTGACCACGCTGGTGGTTTGGGGTTCTATCCTGGGCCACAAAAGCATTTCTTCACCTCGCTTAGCCAGTAATGAGACCGGTAAAGAGGGAAGGTTGCACATGAGACTGGCTAGCAACCCCAACCCGTAAGAATAATCAACACCACTGTTACCGAAAATTCAAGCCTCCAGCTTGAACGTAAAGGAATAAAAATAACTTGCCAATTTAACCGCAGATAAGCATATTACACTTCTTGTAATAGCGTTTATGTATAACTGATGGGCATCGGGGTTTGAAGGGGGGAGAAATCAAGTAATTTACACCAAATGTTCGACTGTACAATAAAAGTAAAAATGAATTATATGGAAGGATGATTTCAAATATATTTCTCATTTCTAGTTCTGTTTATCCTCTTCTTTTGTTTCGATAGAGAATCGAATCAGTGAATTAGAAGATGTAAATAGACAACTGCAGTTGGATAAGGAGAAAGTAGTGAAAGATTTAGATGCAACACGTTCAGAGTTGACAAATATGAATTTAAAGGTAATTAATTCATAAATCATGTTATATATTTACTATACTGTGTCTTTTTCGATTATTTCTTTACCTAATGTTTTATTTTCTGAGGGGAATGTAGTGCTTTGAATGCTTTGAGGTGGTGTTGTGTTTCATTACGCGGTGAAGCTGCTGGTGTCACACTCAGCTTTCCTGGATTTATTACCGGCTAGGTAAGGTTTAGCAGTTTTTCGTAAAGAATCAAACTTGGACGCCTTGCGTAGCTACCGACAATTCTACCGTTATATATATATATATATTACAAGGGGCTTAGAAGCAAAATTACAGAGGATCAGAAGATAGTCTTTAACGAATAAAAGTGTGAATGGGACGAGCATTGAAACAAATTGAAATAATTATTTTTTTTGACTGATATGAAAGAAAAACGAAAACTAAGGAGCTAAACCGAACTAGATTTATGGTGAATATATAGAGGTTGAACTAATTGCTTTTGAACACTTAGCCCCTGCTTTTCGATGCATATAACGAAGGGTTCTGCAGTAGTATAAAGAAGTCGGAAACACACTAATTGTCTTTGGTAGATTTTTGTTCAATTTGTAAATGACTGTGAATGATGAATGAGTCAGTTGAGATGCTGTGACCAGGTGTGCTGACGATGTGTTCAATAATGGCGCTTTAGATTAAACCAGTGCCACTCTCTCCTCTTTGCCACCATACTGGGGGTAATGTTCTCTAACATGTTTTGAAATGATCCGCATAGCTCCTTACGAACAGGTGAACTGAACTGAGTTTAAAATATTCTAGATTTTGTCAATGAGGGAATCTATAGAATTGAATTTTTAATATACTAAGTTGAATTGCATTGCATAATCATTAGTGTTTTGTTCTACACACACACATACACACAGGTGAATAATCTTGAACGTGATAAGTCTGAGCTCACTACAGAATATGAATGCTTTAAACAGAAATCTCAAGCAGATTATCAGAATATGAAAGAACAATACGAAGGTCGAATTGAAGAACTTCAAAAGAAACTACGCTGGTATGTTGAAAATCAAGCAATGCTTAATAAAGATACTAAGAAGCTACAGACTCAAGTAAGTTGAATTCAGTGTTTTTAAAAAAATAAACTCATAGGAAAGTCATCTGTAACTCTGTAATGTATAGTCTCAGCGATTAGTTTCCACATTGTTAGATCATGCATCGGTGGTTCAGAGGTAGAACACTCGCCAACCATGCCACTCGCCACCTATGGTTTGGGGTTCAATCGCAGGCCACTGACTCACTCTTCAACCCCACCAGGCTGGTAGTAATGGCGATAAAGGGGTTAGTTTTGCCAGTGGGGTAACAACCCTAACCCTACCTAAACTACGATGCTCTAGCATGAAGCCCTGTGTTGCACTGGGAAAGTAAAGGAATAAGAAACGTTGGATCACAGACTGATATCACTTAGAGAACTACTAGAGACCAGAGAGAAATTGACGTCTGTGGGACTCTTCAGTGGTACCTGATGGCGGATTGGACACAGATGGCGAGGCGAGGTTGTTAATGATTCAGTCACTAAGATGAAATCCGGCGTCCCTTGAGTTTCAATTCCTGTCATTTCGCGGTGGACAGCGCCACTACCAAGTGACTAGTTTTCCTAACATCTTGTGCACCCCACTGGTAACGACCTCTTTTGAAGAGTCCCAAACTGCGGTTAAACAGCTGTCAATTTGTGATTTAATTCAGAGTCACTATTAAATTATTGTATGAAGTTTAAACAAAGTAAACAAGGTAGGTTCCTTTTTCATCCCTTTATGGACTGAATGGGACGTAGGATTTCAAGCTGTAAGCTTTTGAGTGTCAGTAGCAGTGATGCTGTTTTCCCTCACAGTATAGGACTCCTAGTCTCACTCCTTAACCTACCCCTTTTTCCAGTCTTATTACCGGTAAGGTGAGGTTTCGGAGTTCGTTGGCCAGGAGTCTGACCCATGTGACCGGAGAAGACAAGAGATTTCGTAGTGGAATGTTTATTTGCAGTTCGATACACGCATATAGGAAACTTGTATGTTCCTTATATTAAGATCGTCATTTGCATGGATCTACCTTGTTGCGCTACTTCTCCCCTTTGTATTGTGTTTGCTTGTTTTCTTTTCAAGTTTCCCATGCTTCGCCGCAATACTGGTTCATTCCCTTTCTTTGACGTCAAATCTGTCTCTCCGCTATTTGATATCTTTGTGTTGATTGGTGAATGTTCCATTTATATACTACTGATAAATCTTATCAGTAGCACAGGTCACACCCTGTACCAGTGAATGATGTCGAGTCAAAGAAACCAACTAAAACCCATCAGTCAAGTATGTGATATTGCCGCTTAGACAAGCAATGCGACACTGTTAGGCCATCTAGCGAGTGGTAATTTGATCGGAAATTTAGAGAGGAGTTGGTCGATACGAAGACGAAAAATCTATTCTTGTGGGTTCTGTGATGTCCAGAACCACAGATAAACACATTTGTGTAATTTTTATCCGATATTTGACGGATTTCGAGAATATAAGCTCAGAAAATTGGGAAATAACGTAGTGGTTTGTGGAATCATAAATAAGATTTTTGTGAATAATCTAGACATTCTACAATGAGTTTTCCTGATAAATGCACAGAGTGGATCACGGATTCGCACCCGGCTTCAATTATCTATCTTCTAGCATCCATATAGTATCATTACACCTAATACAACACATGCAAATTGAAGTTGTTATTTACAGGATTTCATCATGAGCTGACATCTGCTAGAGAACCATTGGAAAACCAGTTAGAAGTACTGGACAGCTGTTTCGTCAGCCTAGTTTGGGATTCTTTAGCAGTACGCACCTAGTGAAGTTCGAACCCAGGACCTTCTGGTTACAAGGCGAGCTTGCAGACCGTGAAGACATTAAGACTCGATCCAATGGCCTGTGAATTCCAACTTCTGCGAATTCACAACATAGTGAGACCGTTAGCCAATGTCTTCGGCGAGTATTTGTCCCAACACCCGACCTGCTGCACCGTACTGGTCACGACTTCTCACTAGATCCCCAGATAACTACCTACTTGAATAGGGACAGTCGCTAGTGAGCATCTCATTGATATTCAAGTATTGGTTTGTAGGGATTTCTCTAACCGATGTCAGCTCATGATGAAATCCTGTAACCAATCAATCATTATTATTTATTATTAATGTTTCCTTTAATTCCTAGAGAAACATAGGGCTTCAGCCGTGCGTCTCCATTGCGTTCGGTTCTCTCCTAGAGTCTTCACCTGGTTTCAAGTCTGCCCACACGTTTTCATCTCCTCTTTACATGACCTCCTCCAAGTCACCCACCCTCGCGCTGACGACCAACTCTCCGGTTCCTTTTCGGGTTACATTCGAGCAATGGCTTGTCTAGTGATGTCACTTGATGGTTTCCTCAGAGTATGGCCAGCCAATCCATCTCCATTTCTTCCTGCATATTTGTTTCACAAATGGTTCCTAGTTGGTTCGCTCATTGCCAGAGATCCCTCTCTGTTGCTGATCTTTTCTGACCAATCAATCCAATCCCTACAAACCAAGACTTGAATGAATTTGTTCTTGTTGTTGGCTGAGTATAATAACAGTTTTGTTATTGAAGACTGTGTCGTTCTGTTTTTGCTTGACTCATTTCCCAATGCTTAGTTCTGTCTTATTGTTCAGCTGTGTAAACATACGTTCATGCTTTATTTTTTATCATCTTCATCTATAGGCCAAAGAATTGGAAAAATTGCAGAGAGAATTAGCGTATTTCAAAAGTAAACAGGCTTCTGATACCAAGCCGGTTGAAAAGAAACATCCTGACAATAAAGAGGTGAGTAACGTTTGCCTTACATAATTATACATTATAGCTTGATTTCACACAGTATTTTCGGTACAGCTGTGGAATTTTCAGCATGTGATATTGGTGGCCCAAATTTAGGAGGCTGGCCGTTGATTTCAGGTGTGCGTCGACCAGGGATCGAACCCCGGACCATGTGCATTGTCGGCGAGCCTCCTAATCGCTGTGAATGTCAAAATCAGCCAGAACTGGAAAAGCAAGACAGATAGGCATTCATTACTCCAAAATCAGTGTAGATATCAACAGACCTCAGCACACGATACCAGATCAGAATTGTCAATATTTATCTCAAGAATATGAGTGTTGTTATATGGTTCAGAAAGTTGGCGCCCACGTGTCACCAAAAGCTTCTCCAACAGATTACTGCAGATTTTCATCAACAGATGCCTCCTTCGGCTTTTATATTGAAGATCAAATGATCGGCCAGGAAGAATTAACATCAAAAAACTCTGGCTGGCTGGGAAAAATCCAACAGGCGAGAACCGATCGCTCAACAAATGTGTAGGTGGAAATGGAGGTGGATCGAGCATGCGTTGAGGAGGACATCAAATGACATCGAGCTCAATGCAGGTCATCGCTTGAGTGGAATCCCAATGGGAAGTGACGAGTGGGTCATCATTGCGAGGGTGGCATGGAGGAGATCGTACGAGTTGGAGGAGGAGGAGATGAGAGATTATGGGGAATCCTGGAGTTACTCAGCTGAAGAAGACAGTGGAAAATAAAAGAAAGTGGAGAGGTGTTGTTGAAGCCAGCCGTATGATCCCCTCAGAACGCAAAGGAATAATAATAATAATGAACCAAGCACCGTTCTGTTGATTATAACTGGAAGATATTGAAGATCAGATTTCTAACAACCAAATATCTATGGGTATAATCTTATTGATGTCATTAGATCATAATGTCTATTCTGTATGGATTTAACGACACATGCTCTTGAACACCAATTACCAGTACACCAGCACTGTATATTGATTTCTATCTTCCACTTCATGATAAAGACAGCTTGAAGTTTATGAAGAGCACTAACATGTGAACGTATCGATCAACTAGAAGGCGATTGCTTTTATGAAACAACTGATGAAAACTTAATTTTAATGTCGGAGCTTCTCCCAACTTCTCAATCAAATAAATCTTAAATAAACTTATTTCCACAAGGTGACTTCCTTTCTACGAGTTGATCATGGATTGATATCAGTTAGAGAACCATTGGAAACCAGGGAGTACTGGACAGCCAGCTGTTTCATCCTAGTTTGGGAATCATTGGCAGTACGCACCCACTGCCAGGGTTCGAACCCAGGACCTTCCGGTTACAAGGCAAGCTGGCTCGTATACCATTAAGCCACTGGAACCCGATTCAACGGCTCATGAATTCTAACTTCTACCAATTTGTGATTTAGCGTGATCCCAACCAGTATCGTCGGTGGGACATCCGTCCTCACACGTGACATCTGGATGGACCTAACTGGTCACGACTTCTCACTAGAACTCCAGGAAACTCCATCCTGTAGCCAGTAGTCACTAGCGAGCATCAGATTAATTTTTTATAGTTTGGTTTGTAAGGGTTAGCTATGTCGCACTAAATCGCGAATTGGTGGAAGTTAGAATTCATGAGCTGTTGAATCGGGTCCCAGTGACTGAATGGTAAGAGTTAAGAGAGTGCGTTGGCCGGGGATCGGACCCCGAACCACCGGCGTGGTCAGCGAGCATCCTACCGCTGTGCCACCAACGCATCACCAAATGACTACGGATTACAAAAGACATTCTTGTTTTAGTATTTCTACGGTGAACTGCATGCATCTCCCCCAAATTTCCATCTTCCGAATTTCATCTGTGATATCAGAGATGCCTTCCCCCTAGTAACTTCAATCCGAGAAGACACTGGTACACTGTTGATACGTTGAAGGTAATCCCTAACAATGGCAGTTTACCTCCGTTTTTACAAACATTCAATAGATAACTGTGATCAGAGTTGGTTTTGTTTTGTTTAAAATCATAAGAATGCATACAACTCATTTTTAATCCACTTGTCAGTAGTTGTTTGTGTCACGTGAAATAAAAAAAACGAAAAACCTTCAAAAAATATTATTTATTATTCGGAGAAAAGGGTTTGGTTTCCACATGATTTCTGAAATATTTGCTTGCCTTACTAGAAACAATAGAATTTCTGATCCACTCTAAAGGGTGTACATATATACATATATACACAGGCGTATCCAACATTTGAAATGTCTTATAAGTAAGACAACTCTTGTTGCAACCACTTAACTGAATAATAGAGTTTTTGTTCGTAAATGTTTATACATGGGGAAATATATAGTTTGTTTACTACTCAACCTTGTTTTTGTATTTTGTTTGTTTATTTAAATTTTGTTTATTATTCTTTATTCTGTTACAAAAGGCCTATACTTATGGATAATTATATGTGATTGAAACAAGAAAATATTTGATATAATTAATGTAGAGCATTTCTACTTAAACTGTTGACGACAACTTCATTTAAGCTGTGTGTGTATGTGCTTGAGGGAGAGAGCATAGACCACTAGGGAATACTTATTTCGTGCCTCTGTAGCCGCACGTACCGATGATCCCACCTATTGGGGTCGAACTAGGTAATTTCAGGTTACTGGGAGAGCTCGTCGACCATTTAGCCCATGAATTCTAGCCTCTGCTTATTCGTGACAATGTAGTATGACTGCCAGCCAACTTTAACGGTGAGTATTTTGTAATTAGAATTTAACTGGTAGATGGTGGAATCCAGGATGCGCATTTCGTCTTATTCGGGACTCGTCACTGGATATACCTGCATTCCCCAGTGAGGGATGATGCTGTTCCCACCGAGGCTTGAACCCAGTGCCAATAGTTTCAAACGCCAAAGCGCGGACATGTCAACCTGAGACCGAGCACTTCGGTCCAATCAATCGACGGGAAAATCTAAAGTTCAATTAAATAATTATTATGACCCGTTGCACAAGAGGTGGCTCTTGTGGCCCAAGTGGTCTTTTGGATAACGCTTTGGCGTTTGAAACTATGGGCACAGGATTCGGCCCTCGGTGGGAACAGCATCATCACTCCCTGGGAAATGCAGGTACATCCAGTGACGAGTCCAGAATTGGACGAAATGCGCATCCTGGATTCCACTGCTAGTCACCATCCACTAATTAAATTCTAATTACATGCCCAGACATTGTCGAAGCATTTGCACAAGAAGCCGACATGTCAACCTGAGATCGAGCACTTCGGTCCAATCAATCGACGGGAAAATCTAAAATTCAGTTAAAGGTGAGTATCGGTCGGTCACCATCTCCTGCTAGAACTCCAGTTAAATTCATCTTGTAGCCAAGCCGTCGTTAGTGAGCAATAGTTTAATTCCCAAGCGTTTGTTTTCAAGAATTCGATTCTTCGATTTGACACTAGTTAGTAACTGGTGTAATGTGTGTGTCTAGTCCTTGGTGTTTGGTGCAGACTGAATTCTATCAGTCAGGTTTTGCAATCTGGCCACCATTGTAGGCAGCTCTCTATCACGGTTCAGTTCGAATAATTGATAGTAGAATTATCAGTCTGCACCGAACACCAAGGACTAGTTACTAGTGCTCAGTCAAAGTATCCACTACAGTCCTACAGGAGGTCAATAGCGACCCCCAGTCTGTTCTGTTTTTTCGACATAGAACTTTGCACATATGTGCGCCAGTTAAAGTTGCCACACCCCATGTAGCACGCAAAGCAAGAGAAGAAAGTAGGAGAAATGCATAATATAGACAGTAAACAGAGGTGTGAGACAAAGGAATAGTAATAACGAAGAACAAAACAGTTTCATTGGAAATCATAAATCACAAGGAGTGGATGCATCTGCGCTAGCCAGTGACAACGATTTTGAGCCATATCATCATTAATTGTCTCCAGCCTTCATTGGTTTTTACCGTTTCGAGGACCCCAACCAGTCAGGAAGCCAGTCTACACCTTCCTACGTGGCCTAGACTGACTGTTGTAGATTTCATTGACTGGTGCCATGTTTTCGTTTGACCACCACTGGCGAGCTCTTTTCCAGCCTGACCCTATATCAGCTAACATTGCCCATTGTCGAGGAAGGCGATGACTAGGAATACGTAACACATGTCCTAACCATCTCAGTCGATGTAATTTCACAGCCTCGTCTATTGATTTCCCCTCCCTACCTAGCACTCGGCGCCTAACCTCAATATTGCTCACCTTATTGTACCACTTCACGCGGGAGATAGAACGCAGACACCCATGATCAAAGACAGCTAATCTTTTCATATCTTCTGCTCTCAATGGTCAGGTCTCACAGCCATAAAGGAGGACGGAGCGGACTGTTGAGCATTACACACGTCCTTTGGTCGATAGTCGGATGTCACGTCTATGCCAGAGACGGCGTAAACTGGCATTTGCGAAACTAGCCTTCTGTATTCGTGTTGAGATTTCGTCAGAGATCAACCCGTTGGGGCTGATGGTACATCCCAATTAAGTGAAGTGGTCAACGTGCTCTACCACTTCACTTCCTATTTCTAATCTAGGGGTCGGTGTAGTCCAGTCGTGCAACTCTTCAGAGGGAACCTCTTTGATCACAGCACTCACTGGGTGACATGGCTTCGAATCTCAGAAGGGACATGAGATCCTTGAAGGATGCAGATACTCCTTGCTGACTGGTGAGTGCCAACTAGCACGAGGCGCAGATGCATCTAAAGCTTTCTGCTGATTGTCTCCAACCATCTAATATGAAGGATTTGATTGATTGTAAGACTAATTACAAAATGATTTCATTTAGAGGACCATTGAAGATCAGTAAAATAGCCTGAATTTATAATTCATGGGAAATTGGATGGCATTGTAGTGGCCGAATGGTTAACTAGCTCCCCTTGTCATGTGAAGGTTCGGGGTTCGAACTCTGGTGGTGGGCAATGTATGCCCTTAGTTAGCATCTTTATTTCTTCCTGAATATTTTCTGCCTGGTTGAT